GGACCTGAGTTCAAATGTGGCCTCAGACAGTGAGCAAGTCACTTAACCCTGTTTGCCTTGGTTTTATCATCTGTGAGATGAGCTGAAGAAGGAAATGGCAAACCGCTCTAATATCTTCGCCAAGAAAACCCCAAATGGAGTCACAGAGTTGGGCGTGACTGAAACAACTGAACAACCATAAAAATCTAATGATGTGTGGGGCTAATTTGGGGATATTTATTTTAATTCGAGCTGAGATGTTCATTTTTTTAATCAGAAATAATTTGAGTGGTTTTACAAGATATTTTTCTGCTCCCTTTTTAATTTCTCTCCTTATACAAGGCTGATAAGCTAAAACCAAATAGAAACCTTCTCTTTTATATTAGGTGTTCTAGCCAATTCAGATTAATTTGGTGTGTAGTTGGAGACAATACCGGGAAGTGTTGACTAGCAGAGGTGAAGGTTTTATTAATCTTACAGTTTACGAGACAGAGAGCCATTGAGGATATATGAATTTTGCCAAGCATTCTGCTTCATTAGGTTTTACCTAATGAATGTGACTAGCTCTTTTAGTGTATCTTGAAGGAGCATGTAGAGGGGGAGTGCCCTCTACTGGCTGTTAACATTTATTGTCCTTTGCTGTCCTCTGTCCAGGGGATATAATTCAGATCATTGGGCCTTGTGGCCTTAGTGGTCATGATATTAGTACCCCACAAATGTTTTATTTAGTCCATGTTTGCAGGGTATGTTCACAGATAGATTTGTTGTGCCCCTAGCAGGGCACTGCCCTCTTTCTGTTGTTCGTGCAGTGCTTACTAATGCTCTTGGCTTAGAGAACTACAAATGCTTCGGTGGAGGATGAAGAACTAGACACGGCTTAAGCACATGGACTGAGACTCTTGAAGGTGTGATGGTTTTGTGTTCTTAATGATGACCTGTCACAGCTAAGTACCAGTTAAAGTAGTTTAATTTCCTTGACAAATGATATATAAAGTTGTAGTCAGTGTACAATATGAATGTAATCTGGGTGTGCATGTTGTGGCATTTTGAATCTTGTAAAGGAAGTGCATGTTCTAACTGATCATCCTATGGAAACCTGATATAGTGGAATTTTCCGTTTTGTTTTTATTTTGGTGTTTCATTTTGATTTTGTCCCAACATTTTCCTTTATAGTCCACCATTAGATATTGATCAGTTGAAGCTCATTTTAAGACTCGTTGGAACCCCAGGGGCTGAGCTTTTGAAGAAAATCTCTTCAGAGTCTGTGAGTTGATGCTTTGATTGTCAATGTTTGCCCTCTTGGGAATCCAATCTGAGTCTATGCTTTGCCTTTCACAGATCTTTCAGCTCAGTCTGTACTTTACCCTAGGCGTGTCTATAAGTGCCTATCTGCCTTTTGTGGGCTTATCAGCACTTCTAGGATGGTGCTGTGGAAATGTGTCTCTCCCTCACTCTTTCTTTCTCCCAGTCTCAGTCTCTAGTCAATTCTTGGGTCACGTGAGTCTCCAGTGCTGCAGTTTCTCTTCTCCCTAGATAAATAGGATTTAAGATTTCAGTTTGTTTCAAGAAATAGATAAGAGAAGTTCCCCATTCACAAATTGTACACAGAAGCTTCAAAAATACATGGCCTTTGTGTGATCCTTCTAAGAAGTTTTGAATGATCCCATGTTGTAGTCCCTCTTAAGCAGATGTTTGTTCTCAGAGCATGGGATCTACTCTAAATTGCTTATTCACTGAAGGAATAGAATATGCATCATGAGGACTGTAGGACACCCTAGACTTGCCTTTAAAGTCAGAAGCTAACATCCAAAGTAGGTCTCCGTTTCCAAAAAGCAGAAGGATAGACTGTCATCTTGTGGGGTGTTTCTCCATCTCTATCCTCTAAACCATTCATAGAATCGTAGAACATCAGAGCTATAAGTAACCTTGGAGACCATCGTCCAGCCCCCTCACTTATATGTGGAAGAGGCATCCCAATCCTAACACCTCCGAACCGCCTCTCCATTCCTTCTTCCTCTGTAATTGAAAGTTGACAAAAACTGGGAAAGGAGCAGCGGACCTCATACAGAGCTTGTGTGGCCACTGACTCATTCCTTTTCTGTATCTTAGTGATGGGCTGGTGGAAAGAAGCAGCCATGGACTAGAACATTGGCTTTCCTTTCCTTTGCCCTTCTTGCTTCTGAACACCATGCTGATGCCACAGGAGAGCAGAGAAGGCAGCATGGTTGTTGTTCACCTCTCCCTGTACCATAACCAGCCTGTGGTCATTGTCCCTGCAGCTTTGTAGCAAAGGGGAGAGGGAAGCACTGGTGCTGAGCTCCAGGTCTTTACCATCTTTCCTGTGCTTCTCTGGCTAACCATTCAACATTTCTGGCTGCCTTGGCTCCTGCTTCCCAGTGGGGAGCCTGCTGAGCAGCTAGCATACCAAGCAGGTGAGTTTGAAATGTTATTTTTGTGTTTGACAAAATAAATAATCTTGTTTATATCTCACACCTCCATTTGAACTATTTCAAAGCATATTAAAATTCTGAATTTCCACAGCATATCTTTGAGGGACATAGAGGTTTGTTGTTGACTCTGGGTCGTTTTGAGGAAGCGAAAGGTTCTCATTTGCCCAAGTCATTGGACAAATCTCATTGAGTCACCTGGCAGAACTAAGTACAGAAGTCAGATGTCCTGATAACGAGATTTCAGCCATCATGCCTTTCCACAGTTACAAACTATATTGGAAAGTCATATTCAGAGGGGTTAACTAACTATAGGGTCTATTCAAAAAGCATTTCTTTTTGTTCCAGAGAAGGCAGAAGCCAGTTTGGAATGAACTGAGGAAATTTTGAGGCTTCAGCAAGAAATAACAAGACTGCTCTGTTTTTGCTCAGAAACAGATGAGCTCATAGAATTTTGTGATTAAGTAGCTTCATTGGTTGGAGGATGGTGCTGAGATTAAAATCATAAGTTAAAATCCTGTATTAGTCACCTTTATTTTATCCTCTGGCCACAAAATTGTGCCCTGTAAGTACAACCCATCTAGCTTGTAGATCTGCATTTTAGTTGAAAAGGAAAGCTGTAAGCCCATGTGCATAGAAGATAAGCTACCTATCCCTGAATGGGGAAGGAAGGGCTGGGACTCTCCAAGTGTATGCATTCTGAGGATGGGGAAGACGACTAGCACCTTCCTTGCTATAAAATAGGGTGAGGCTATAGATTTTTATTATGACAGTTTTATTTAGAGTAGTGAATAAATGAGAGGGAAGCTAGAGTATGTCTAAATGAAATCATACTGAGTATAGGAAGGAAGGGGGGAGGCGCTTTCAGCAGATTTTTCAGGAACTATACAGAGTAGAACACTGCAAGAGAAGGAAACTTGGAAATCCCCATGATGTTCTACAGGTTGTTGTGTGGAACAAAGTCATGCATTCTTCAAAGCACATAGAAAAGGCCAGCAGCTTTCTGACTCCCCAAAAAAGCATTGCAATAATGATCTCAGCATTTTACTAGACGTTTAGAGATACTACCTGTGCTCAGAGACTGAGTAAGAAAATGAGATGATGATCTGAAGATAAGTTGGGAAATTATCTGGAAGAGGGGTAGGTGTCATGGCCTTTGGCAAAAGACAGAGCTCCTTTGGTAGTGGGACTGCTATCCTAAAAATGCTTAAAGAATACCTATATACCTAATACCTATAGAAATCAGTGAAGAAGGGAGACCAGGGACACACAGAACTTCCAGGTACTCCCCTCTCACTCTACCCAGTAAAAGTAGATGTCATTATTTCTCTAGATAGGAAGAAATGCCAGTTTGGATAGTACCCAGTTTGGACAGTAGTGTTAGGGTGCAAGGTTTTTGGTGATTCAAGGTCAGTCAGTGATTAAGAATGGTAGATTCAGGGTGAGGGGTAAGTTAAATTATTAACTATGAAGGAAGTGAGCAAAAACACAAATTTTAGCAATTATGTTGTGCAAAAAATAGGGGAAAGTCTCGTGGAAGTCATTGGTGACAACTTCTGCAACCTTCAATGCTTCTAATCATAGTGAAGCTCTTCATATATGTTGTGAAGACATTCTCAACCATTGACAGGGTAATTAGAGGAGACATATTGATAGACAAATAGACGTGCTGATGCATTTGGAAGACTTCTTGACTATTCCCCTATAAGATTTTTTTTAACTGCATGGTATTTGAAAGAACATCCTCCACATAGCATTTTGATGTTTGAATACTTTTTCACCTGATAGGGGCTTGTATGAGAATTGGGAGTAGAGGGTGAGGGTGAAGTCATTGTTGGTAGGAGAGCCATGTTGGCACATGCCTTGGTACATCACTGCAGCATGAGGTTTCTATTTTTGCTTTACATGACTTTCCTTCCACTTTCTCTACATGCACTGACCTATTGTGTGTGTGTGTGTGTGTGTGTGTGTGTGTGTGTGTGTGTGTGTGTATATGTGTTAATGTTTTTCCTAATGTCTTCCTGACCTTGCATTGCTCTGGCCTCATCGCTTTACCCACCTATCTGTTTCTTGCATTTGGAGGGAAAATGCCTTGGAGAGCCACCAACATCTGTGCCACAAAAATCTGGTTACTTTCTGAATGGTCAGATCCAGTCCTGGATTTGGTGGATATTTTATGCCATATAGAGCAGAGTCAAGTCCTTGAATTAATTTCTATCCACCATCTTCCCGAGGGGTAAGAACATTTGGATCACAACTAGCCAAAAAAAAGTTCAGTGGCTGGCATCCTGGATCAAGAGAGAATATCTGTTTCTAGGATCCAAAAATGTTTGATGTTGAAGAGGAGCAAGAGCTCAACAAAATTAATTTTTCCTCTCTGCATGGGCAGTCACTGGCTAATTGAGCAACACCTGCCTGATAACACTGTTCCCTTCACAGAAGTGGTGCTTTATATATGTAGCTTGGGTCAGGATGGGGAGGGGTGGTCAATTTTTGTCTTTTTTTTTTTTTACCCAAGTTGAAAATTATTTTTGCACCGTGTGTTTAACAAAAGCCCTTGACCAGGCATCTAAGATATTAACCAGCTTCAGCAGATCATGCGCCTGACGGGGACACCCCCTGCCTATCTCATTAACAGGATGCCCAGTCATGAGGTGAGACCAAACAGATTATACTAGGGGTGTGTCGTTCACAAGGCCACAGACACACTGTTTAACATAACTGAATGCTTGCATGTGCCTTGGAGTGGCTACTAAGATAATGACTCTGTTTGCTTTAGTAGGGTGTTAGTATCTGAACTGAAAATGTAACTTCTAAGGTGGCCAATAAATAAATGATAACATTACTTTTAAACATTTGGGTTTGTAAATTTGGTACTCAAAAACCTGTTTAGAGTATGTTGTTACCAAATAAACTTCATATAGAGGCACAGTTACCTAAAGGAGATTACTGTGCTTTTTAACTCCTTCCTCCCTCTCCCAACTCTCCCTCTTTCTCTCTCTCTCTCTTTCTCCCTCTTTCTCTCTCTCTCTCTCTCTCTCTCTCTCTCTCAAAAAATAGAATCCAACACAGCTAAGTATAACCCGTATACCTTAATACATTGTACTTGAAAGTTGGTACGTAGGGCATCCCAAAAGTCTTAGGGACTGTATAGAAAGAGTGAGATTTTAAGATTAAATACCTCAATACAACTTGTTAGCTTCTCATTCATATTAATTTTAGTCAGTCATTGCTTAATTTAACTTTAGTTTCATCCCCAGACTTGACTAGGACACCTCTTCACAAATCACTCTAAATCTTTATCTTGGAGCTAGACTGCTCCTGGTATAACCCTAGAACTTCAGACCAGTTTGACATCAAAAACCTTTTTTTTAGCTACCTCATAACTATTTATCCTTCTAGACTTTTAGAGCTAATTATGGCCCTGGCCTCCATATCAATATTCTGATATTTCCTTTGCCTCCTTATATCTTTTCATATGGCAGAAATAAAGATATTAATCATCTAGTACATTTTTGCATCAATATGATGGCCCTCTACCCACCCAAGAAATATTTAAATAGAAAACTTAACAGCTGTGTAGGTATCAGGGTTTCCATGCACACATTTAAGATTAGATTAATATTGGCTCTGTACCCATGGATATAAAGATGGTTGTGAATAGAGACCAAACCAGTGTCTGCAGCCAAGAAACCAGTTTTCATATCCGTATGTTATACTTGGTATATGTGATTACCCTCAAGGCCAGTTGTTTATTTTTAAGGTATTTTGCCTTGATTATAGTTATCAGTACATACAAGATGTTTGCTGAGCTAAGTTCACTGATATGAAATAAATTAATTATGAAAATCAGATATACTTTTGGAATTAAAAACAAACTTTCATTTAATAAAGGTAAACGCTTAATTTAGCTAATAGGTACTGCCCTCATTAAGGATTGTTTTATCAAAATGTATTTGAAGTTAGTAAAGCAGTGAGTTGTACTCATTTTTTTGTTTTTTGGCCAGACTAACATTATACTCTTTTTTTTTTTTAAGTCATCCTGAGCCCCCAATGAGAATACCACCATAAACTAATTATTGATCAGAATTCAAGCTTTGGGCCAGGAATCCAACGTTCACGTAGATTTTAGCTGTTCTAGAACGTTTCTGAGAGGCATTTACTTCTTACAGCTCTTGAGTTCACTATATACACATAAACATCTGTTCCTGACTAGCTAAATGAAAGTAGGCCAGATTGATTAGCATTCATTTCTAGTTGGAATCTAAATCTATAAGACAAAAGCAACATACTCAATGATATTCCTAACTGAAGGGGTTGGTACGGGAGAACAGTATTGAAGAACTCTAAGAAAATATGCCATATGAAAACCACAACTTGTAAAGATTTTTTTTTCTCTCCCAGTATTAGGGTCTAAGAATCTCTTACAATAATGAGTACATTAATTCTCAAAATCCTTATTTTCACAGGCAAGAAATTATATTCAGTCTTTGACCCAGATGCCGAAGATGAACTTTGCAAATGTGTTTATTGGTGCCAATCCATTGGGTAAGTATCATTAATTGCATTTTGGAAGCAAATATTATTTTTCCCTCCAGACACCTATGGTCATGCTTCTCAAACAAACTTTTTCATCTGGTGATATGCTTGTGTATTTATAAACCTATGCCATTTATAAAACTTTGCAGAGGTTATTGTTAAATGGTAGGGAGAAAGGGAGGAGAGATAAAAAGGCATCTGCTCTTGACCATTAAATGCAACCAGAATAGGAGTGAGAACAAGTTCGGCAATTACATTTTGTGGGAATTGCTCTTTGAGGGCAGGAATTATTTCATCTTTGTCTTTGTGTCCCTAAAACTTAGCACAGTGCCTGGCACTTAAAAGATATTAATAAATGTTTTAATATCATACATTTGATTGATTGAAAATAAAGTACTGTGTTCTGTGAGGTGTTAGAGGGTTGAAGAAGGCTTCCTAAAAGGGGTAACATTTGAGTTGGTCTGAAAGGACAGGAGTGAGGCATTAAAAAGCACAGTGCTTGTTCAGGGGGTAGAGAATTAAGCAATTTGACTGGTGCCTAGAGTACTTGGAGCTTTTTGTATGCATAAGAAAAAACTGGGTGTTTTATCTTAGACACAATGTTAGCTTCTCCATATTAAACTTTTTCTCCTTCTTTTCCTAATCTAACTTTTGTTGTTGACAGCTGTTGATCTGCTGGAGAAGATGCTTGTATTGGACTCCGATAAGAGAATTACAGCAGCTCAAGCCCTTGCCCATGGCTACTTTGCCCAGTACCATGATCCTGATGATGAACCAGTTGCAGACCCCTATGACCAGTCCTTTGAAAGCAGGGATCTCCTGATAGATGAATGGAAAAGTGAGTTCCGTGGCAGGATTATTAAGCTTTTGAGTTTGCCCTCTTCTCTGAGGGCAGTTACGTATTGTTATTGGGTGAATCTATAACTGAAGCAGAGGGAGAAACAAGAACTACTAAGAGAAATAGCCATAAAACATAGACTGTCACCTGGAAGGGAGGGACCTGAAAGAGGTCCAACCCTCTCCTTGTACAGGTCAGTAGATGAGGCCTTTGCAGGTTAATAATTGGGAATAGTTTGTGAGAGCAGCTTAGAATCATGAAAGTTTTAAGTTGGAAGGTGCCTTTAAGAACACTGAGTTCAAAAGCTTCATTTTGCAGATGTATAATCTCTAGCTCAGAATAAACATGTTCCTTTTACAAGATATTATCTTTCTGTTCTAGGCAGTGGTCTCTGTAGTCTTTTGAGGTACTTCTTTCGAGTTTTCTGTGTTATTTTATATTTATTATTTACTTTTATCCTCTCAACAACAACCTGATGAGACAGAGTGGACTTGTAACCCATTTTACAGAAAAAACTAGGGCACAGAGAAGTTGTGTCTTACCTAAGGCCACACAGCCAGTAACAGTTCCAGGGCTAGAGCCTAGGTCTCCTGACTACAAATTCCAATTTTCTCTTCACCAGACCCAAATTGAACTTGAAAACTGACTAACCAATATTTTGCTGATAAATAACCTAAAATAATCTGGCAATAAAGTAAACTGGAGCTGGGTCTGCTTTCATGAGATTCTGTTTGTGGTTATAGTACCTTGTGCTAAAATGATTGGGATATTTCCTAACCAGACAGAGATAATGGGTCCCTTAAGAGAGAGAGTGGTGTGGCATATTGAAGGGGGCACTAGATTTCTAGTCAGAAGAGCTGGATTCTAAACATTCACAAGTCTACTAGTTACCACATAAATGAGATTCATTATTTGAGTAGGGGTTAGGGTTAGAGTTATATGGCCTCTAAGGACTCATTCTATGCCTATAAATCCATGACCTTTTGGCAATGGGTAGTATATATAATTAATTAACCTTAGCTTGTCATTCATAGAACAATTAATGGCAGTATTCACATACCTCACTAGATTTTGAGGAAGAAACTTTGTAGGGGCAGCTAGGTGGCGCAGTGAATAGAGCACTGGCCCTGGATTCAGGAGGACCTGAGTTCAAATATGGGTTCAGACATGTAATACTTACAGCTGTGTGACCCTGGGCAGGTCACTTAACCCCATTCATTACCTAGCCCCCAAGGAAAAAAAAAGAGAGAGAGACTTTGTAAATGTCTGAGTTATTGCCGCCATTCTTTTCCTTCCTTCTAGGCCTGACCTATGATGAAGTTATTAGCTTTGTGCCACCACCACTCGACCAAGAAGAGATGGAGTCTTGAAAACCTGGTTTCTGTTCTGTCAATTGCACGTCACTGTGAGGGAAAGGCCTTTTCATGGGAACTCTCCAAAATATCATTCAAGTGCCTCTTGTTGCAAAGATTCTTCATGGTGGAAGGGTGTGTGTGTGTGTGTGTGTGTGTGTGTGCGTGTGCGTGTGCGCGCGTGTTTGCCTGTGTACACATGTGGTGAGCTGAAAGTCAGAGAAGAGGGAGGGAGCTATTTATACGGTGACTTTTCTGTAAACATGCTCACTGAAGCTCTTTGATAGCCTCTGCTTTAGTCCCTCTGGGAGAAAGTCAATCCACGCATCTCATTTGCCATGTTGTTGGGGTGTGGTAGATGTGAAGCCAAAAAACCCACAAACATCCCAGATCCTGGGCTCACTTGTTACCGCCATTATCTGGGCTCTTCTAGGAAGCAGCTGGAAAGATGGTGGTGATGATTTCTTGCTCGCCCATATTATCCCTGTTCTGGCTCTGTAGGGACAAAGGGATCGGGGTTGTTTGATTGACAAGTGAGCCTTTTGGCTGCCTGAAAACCCGAAGCCTTTGTCAGCAGCGTGTACAGCTGGAAGGACCAACTCGTGTCTGTGCACTAACGTGTGGTATAATCGCCTGGTGTGGTCCTCACACTGTGACAGGTCTGTGTGAAATTGTAAATATGTTTGTGCCTTATATAGAGAGAAGAACATTTGGGGAGTTGAGGGAACCCAGTAGACTGGTTTCTGAGCCACTCACGTGGAGGGGGCTTCAGGGTGTATGTGAACCCATTTTAACAGATGAGCCTTCAGAGGCAGCTTTGTGTATGCATGCGTGCGTGCCTGTATGTGTCTGTGTGTGTGTGTGTGTGTGTGTGTGTGTGTGCACACATGTGCGTGTCTCTCTCACTCTCCCTGTATTCAGTGTTGCCGTTTCTCTCTGCTCCTCCTCACCTTTGGCTCAGGGGCCTCCCAGATACTGGCCCCAGGAGCCAAATGCAGGTTCTAGTCTGTGTGCATCCTGTGTGCTCTTTATTCCTAGCCAGGTGCGGGGTGTTGTGCATGTCTTGCTTTGTGTGCATGCAGAGCTGCTTGTCGAGTTCCTGGGACAGTGGGGAGAGGCCCTGGTGTGGAGCAGGTTGGGCAGTGAAGAGCTGAGCGGTCCCACTCAGATCCCCTTTCACCTCAGCTGACGCGAGAGGAAAAGTTTCACCAGCTGCCCTCCTGAGTCTGCCAGCACTATTCAACATGAGTATACTGGATAGTATTCTAGGTGCTTTAGATGTGAAAACAGTGAGGAAATAGGACTGACTGGTGTATCTCTTTTTTCCTTGTCATTATGGTTTTCAAAGAGACTCTTTTGCTGGGCTCTGGTGGGCAAGGTCAGGACTTTTCCCAGGATCATCCCAGATTTTGGAAAATTGGAATTTCTATTCACACCCACCCACCAATTCTTAGAAATACTGAAGATCAAAACCAAGAATAAAAGTGCGTGAGGCCAGAAACCTATTTTTCTGTCTCTTTCTAAATACAGAGAAATTTATCGAGGTGTCTTTCTTTCTCTTGAGAAGGATCTATTGACAGCTTGGCATTACTCTTCTCTTGCCTAGAGAAATAGGGGAAAGGGCTCTGGGTTTGGGAGAAACAAATTTTGTTTCAGTATTTGTGTTGCAGGGATCCTTTGGGAATGTGATTCCTGTTTTTAGTGGGGAGGAAGGGCAGATTATTTCAATGTGTTGCATATTCGACCTTCTCCTTCTGAAATCCCCTCATTACTGGTATGATGAAGAGTTGTTTTCATAGTTTTGGAGATTTTATGCATCTTGTGTTACTTATGATGGGCCCACACATTCAAGGCTTTTCTGAAGTGAAAAAGAGCAAAGCACATGCAGAGAATGAGAGTCAGGTGGGTTGGACCAGATTGTTTGAGTTCATCTGTCTCAGTAGGGTGGAAGGCAGCCCAGAGGCCGGCAAGAAAATCAGTCACCTCTGAGTGACTAAGGGCTGGAGGGAGAGAGAAAGACACCTTGGCCAGGCTTCCCACACACCTCCTAGAGGAAGTTAACTAAAGATGCCCTCCCTGCTCTCTTGGATATGCAGGTCAGCTCCTCACAGAGAAATGTAAATATCTCCTCTGTTACCCACAGCAAGATGAATTTTATTAGCCATATTTGGTGCAAATGCTAGTGTAATTTCCTACAGAAATACTGCTCAGATTTTTTTTTAATTAAAGTTTCTGCATGTGTGCCCACATGTGCTGAGAGACTGCATGTCCCAGAAGCCTGGACTTTAACTGGATCTTTCTGGAGAGCTCCTTGGTTTCTGAGCATCATTGCTCCCATCTCCCAAGTCCTCTGAAAAGAATACCGTGGGGTGACAAAACAAGGGGGAGCCTACTCTTTTATTTGTATCCATGAACTTTTGCTGTAATCAGTTCCACCGTATAGGATGTCACACAATACCACTGGTTAAAATAAAGCCTATTTTTCAAGTTTGATGACTTTCTCTCATTTATTAGCACACACTACATAATCAGTTCAGTAAAATTCGCAACAAAAGTGCCTACTTTCTGAAGGCAAGGACCAAAATGAAACAACCCTTCCCGTAAAGGAACTTACATTCTGCATTCTGAACACAGACTAGTAAACAGAAGTAATTTCAGGAGGGAGAGGGTACTGGGAGTTTCATGTAGAAAGTAGTGCCTCAGCTGGGCCTTGAAGGAAGCCAGGCGCAGCAACGTTTCTCATTTAATGCACAATTTGGCACCCGAGACATTACATCAAGAGATTCTCAACTATGGCCTGTCAGTTTTCTTGGAATGTTATGCCATTAATGCCAGAAATCACAAGGGAAGACATGGCTCCTGGGCTCAGAAATTCCAGCAAGGGGAGAATTTGTGGGTGGATAAAATCACAGAGATGAACTATGAAATGATATTCTTCCAGAGAACAATAATGGTTTTGTTTCAGAATTACCTGGGCAAAGGTATTGAGATTTATTTTTTAAAATCTCATGTTTACAAAGCACATAGTTGCTATAAAATTCTTTATGTTATCTGCTCTAATTCTCACAATAACCCTGTGAACTCTAGGTAACATAAGTATTAGTCTCTCTCTTTTAAAGACATTAGTGCCTTCTAAATCCTTCACAAGAACCTTTTTGAGATAGGTAGCACAAATTCCCATTTTGCAAATGAGGAAACTGAGGCAGGCTCAGATGTGAAGTGAATCACCCAAGATCCATGGAAGAGGAAACAGGATTTGAACCCAGACTTTCTGACTCCAGATTTAGTGGTCCTTCCTCTCTACCACACTACCCCTGCCTGTACACAGACCGTTTGCAGTATAGATATAATTCACACAACTGTGTTTATGACATATTTTGTATTGCCTGGACGTGGGCCCATGAGAAAATCTTAATGGGAACCACTAGAAAATTACCTAAAGTATTCATATAACATCTCTCTTCACATCCTTAGTCCTTAAACCCTTATGTAAATATTCTGACCATTGTTAGACTCTATCTGCTTGTGTTGCACAGTCCCATATTGGCCCAAGTGGCCATTAGCCAGGTTAGACTTCTATGAATTTCAGGGCTGCAAAGTTGAAATCCTCGTCTCTGTGCTGATTTTTAGGTGACAGTTGGAATAGGTAACAGAATTAGAGGAAAGGTCTAGCATAGAGCTACTGCACTAGCCCAGAAGTGTGCATATGGAGTCTGCATTCTTCAAATGTTCAGCTAGGTAAATTCAGCCCATAGGGGTGGGACAAAAATCAGTCATTGAGCCAGGGCACTGTGATGTAGTGGACGGAGTGACAACCTCGGGAGACTGTGGTTTGATTCCACCTCTAACAGTTCCCACTTGTCTTATCCTAATCAAGTCATTTCACTGTCTCAACCTCACTTCCCTCATCTGCAAAGTGAGAATTATAAAATATAAAACATTAACTATAAGACATCAAAACATCTTCCAGAGAGTCCAGGTACTGAACAAAACATACAGGAAATAGTGTCCTTCAACCCCTCCCCCAGCCCCAGTGATATATTCTAATGTATATTAGGATATATATTCTATGCATAAATATAACACTTTAAATTCAGTGCGGATTGCCCTGAATTTCTGCATGTGGTTGATCAACTTTTGAATGACTTGGGAGCAATTAACCCAAATCTAGCCACTCTCCCAAATGAATTGGGGTTATATGCCAATGCAAGAAAATAACTGTATGGGACACAAGTTGTGGTATAGCAGCTTATGTCTGGACTCTTCCCTCAAACATGACTCTCCACCCACCTGAATTGGAAATGCAGTCCTTCCCTCCACGGAAGGGCACCTCTACTTAGATCCATATCCCTATCTCTGCTGCATGGATTTATGCCAAAGCTTCCTTGAGTCTCAGTTTTCTCATCTATGACAACTAAATTTCCATATGGTTTATGAGCTTTATTTGTTAAATTTGATCTTTTTTCAATGGGCAAAAATCCACTTTCTCTCCCTCCCACCAAATGAGATATTTGTAAAGCCCTTGCAACTTGTAGGTACTTAACAAATACTTGTTTTCTTTCATCTACCTCCCTCCCATTGAAAAAAAAAAAGAATAAAACCCTTCTATAGTTAAGCAAAAAAAAATTTGTGTTTTGGCCATTTCCCAAAAAAATGTGTCTCAATCAGCACTCAATTCATCACCTCCGAAGGAGGGTAGCATGTGTCATTATGAGCCCTCTGGGATCATAGTTGGTCATTGCATTGATCAGAGTTCCTGTTTTTCTTTACAGTATTGTTATATCAGTTATTTTGGTTCTGCTCACTTCATTCTTCATCACTCTGTAGAAATCCCAGGTTTCTCTAAAATCATCCCTTTTATCACTTAGGTAAGTGGCTCAATGGATAGAGAACTGGACTTGGAATCAGGAAGACCCAATCTAGCTTCCAACAGTAGCCATGTGACCTCTGCCTCAGTTTCCTGATTTGTAAAATGAGGATAATAGCATTTTCCTTCCAGGGTTATTGTGATGATAAAATGAGGTATTTGTAAAGTGCTTTGTGAACCATCACATTCATATACCATAACTTTCTGAGCCATTCCCCAATTGATAAGTACACCTCCAGTTTCCAGTTCTTTGCCACCACAAAAAGAGCTGTTGTGAATACTTTTGAACATAGAGGTTCTTTTCCTGTTTCTTTGATCCCTGAGTTTCTTTGCAACAACCCTAGGAGACAGTGGAAGAGTAGGGAACTTGGAGTGAGGGGACCTGGGTTTGATCTGCCTTTGTGGAGTTTCTCTGTGACCTTGAGTTTGCTACCTCCCTATAGTTAGTATAGATGGTTAGTAAACAAACATGTATTAAGCACTTAAACTGTAATAAGCCAGGCATGGTGGCACACATCTGTGGTCCCAATTACTGGGGAGAGTAAGGCTGGCCAGTCTTGTACAACTTTGGTAGTTTCAAAGTAGAGCGGGGTATACTAATTGTGTCCCCACTAAGTTTGGCTTCAATAGATTTAGTCCAAGAAGTGGAGAAGCACCAGGTTGTACAAGAAAGACTTAACTGACCCCTGTCAAAAAAGGAGCAGGTCAATGCTACCATGTTGATCAGTAGCAGAATCAAACACATGGGCAGCCCCAACACTTCCAGCCTGGGTGAGATGGGGAAACCCTGTCTTTAAAAAACCAAAAAGCGTGCTAGGTACTGTGCTTAGTACTGAGAATAGAAAGAAAAGCAAAAACACTTTACCTCCTCTTAAGACACTCACATTCTAATGGGAAGACATGTAAATAACTATATGTGTGTGTATACATAACTGTATATATGTATGTTTCCTTCTATCTACTCCATCTTGTGTATGAGATATATATATAATATATATATTATATGTACAACATGTAGATATATACACAAGATATAGAGTATATATGTTTATATATACACACAGAGAAAAGTAGTAAATAGATGGAAGATAATATATATTCACATGTCATATCATGTGTGTGTATATATGTATATATATATGTATATATATATATATACACACACACACAAGATAGAGAGTGGATGGAATTTGATCTCAAAAGGAAGGCACAGGTGACAAAGAAAGCCAAGAATTCTTAGGCCTCCAGCAGAATGTGAAATTTGAGTAGACTTCAGAAAAGTCCAGAGATGGAGGTGAGAAATAGCATTCAGGGCATGGGGGGACAAGCCAGTGCAAAGGGACTGAATGAGGAGATGGAATGTTGTGTTTCAAGAACAGCAGGGAGGCCAGTGTCACTAGATTACAGTGTAAAGTGTAAGAAAACTGGAAAGGTAGGAAGGGGCCAGGTTGTAAAGGACCTTAAAATCCAAACAGGATATTATATTTGATCCTGAAGGTGATATGTAGCCTCTGGAATTTATTGAATGGGGAATGGGGGAAGATGTCATGGTCAAGCTTGGGCTTTAGGGAGATTGATTTGCTAACTGAGTGGAGAAAGGTTTGGGGTAGGTATACCTGCAATAGGAAGATCAACTCTAGGCTACTGCAATAGTCCAGGCAAAAGGTGTCAAGACTAGAATGGTAGTGGTGGCAGAGGAAAGAAGGGGCAGATTTAAGAGATGTTATAAAGGTAGAAAAAACTGGGACTTGGCAACTGAATGGAAGTGGAGGCTAAGAGAGTGAAGTGTGAGGATGACACCTAGGTTGGGGCATTCCCCGCAATTAGCAGAAATGACCTGGATGAAGAAATGGCAGAAGAAGCAAAGAAGAAATGGTCTGACAGATGGGAAGAGAATCAGGAGAGATCAATATCAAGAAAATTTAGAAGAATATTATCAAGGAAAAGAGGGTGATTGGTAGTGGTGCAGAGGCTGCAGAGAAGTCAAAAGGTTTTGAGGATGGAGAAAAAAACCATTAGATTTAGCAACTTAACATTAGCAACTTTGAAAAGAGCAGTTTCAGTTGAATGATGAGGCCAGACTGTAGAGACTTAAGGAGAGTGAAAGGAAAAGGAAGTAGTCTGCTATTATAGACAGCCTTATCCAGTTTAGCCTCAAAAGGGAAGAGAGAGAGAAGTTGATAGTGGGAATGAAGAGGTCAAATGAAGGATTTTTGAGGATGAGGGAGATGTAGGCATGTTAGGCAGCAGGGAAACATCCTGTAGACAGGGAGCAATTAGAGATGAGTGGGAGTAGGAGTGATAAGGTAATCTGCTGGAGGAAATGAGACAGAATGGGATCACTTGTTCAAGTAGAGGGGTTTGCCTTGGTAAGAAGAAAAGCTATCTCTTTGTGTGACACAGGGCTGAAGGAGGAGATGCTGGAGGAAATGAGTTGGGGAGAACAGATGAAGAGGGAGATCTCAGCAAATGGCCTTAATTTTTACCCCTAAATATGTGGCAAGATTCTCAACTGAGTGAGGGGTAGGGAAACTGGAAAGTATGAGAAGGGAGAAAAAAGTTTGCAAGAGCTGCTCTGGAGAGCTGGAGAGGGAATCAGGGAGTTGTAAAAAGATCATCTTGCAGC